CCTTTCTGGATATATGGGGCATGTCTCTTTGCTAGATGAATGGGACATGTCTCTTTGCTGGATATATGGGGATGTTGATTTGTTAAATATGTGGGGCATGTGTCTTTGGTAAATATATGGGGGATGTCTCTTTGCTGGATATATGGGCATGTCTTTTTGCTGGATGTATAGGCCATGTCTCTTTGCTGGATATATGGTGATGTCTCTTGGCTAAATATATCAGACATGTCTCTTTGCTGAATATATGGGGGTGTCTCCTTGCTGAATATGTGGGGCATGTCTCTTTGCTGGATATATGGTGTAATTTATACAGCTAATATTTATCACTGAAATTATTTTTCCTTTTATGGGCTTGAGTGGGACCTCATGTCTAAGTTTTGCCTAAGGCCTCATAAAGCCTATAGCTGCCTCTGCTGAGCAATCATATGACCAGTGACCACTCAGTTTTTGGTCTGCTAGGAACAGAGATCAGTGATTGTCAGTCATTTCTCTTTGCTCTGCCCTCCAATGCTGTCAATCAGGCAGCTGGGTGGATTCCAACAATATGATCAGGATCCTTCCTAGCCTGGAGCAGCTCTGCGATGTCAGCTATCAGCAGACAATAGCCTGCTATCAGCTAACTCTGCGACACAGGATAGCAAAAGCTTTGACCATGTTTCTCTCTTAACCCCCCCCCCCCCAACAATCCCACAGTTATTGATGGTCAGTGGCACTTAAACGCCCCAAACAATCCCAAAATTGTTTGAGGTCATTTGCATTTCACCCCAACCGTAGCCCCATCATTGGGGGCTGAAAGCAATTCCACAACATTGGTGCTTAGTGGCATACCCCCTCACAGAATACTTCCCCACCCGTGGCTATTTCAGTAAAAGGACCAGTATGGAGGGGGTTAAAATTAAGGAGCTTCTCGGTTGGTTTGTATGGTGGATTTCTAGTTTCCCATGTTGACTGCTACATAGCAGAGTATTTTTTTCCACTTAGACATCACTGTCTGGTCTAATCTGCATATTATATTGCTGACCAAAAAAATATTTATTTTAAATTTTTTTTAGTCATCTATAGTAATTTAATCTGAACAATTTTATAGATGTGTATTCAAGTCAAACAGAGTGAGCTGCACATAGAAACTCCAAAGTCAATGGAGTCAAGGCACTTTTATCAGATTTTCTGCAAAAAAAAATGTAACTGATTGAATATTTCTTAAACTGCAAACAGGATCATAGGACTGACTGAGCAAACTAATTATGGAATATTTAAAAGTCTAAAAATGCCATACCAATGTAGAGCATTAACATTTTAAAAAGGCATTATTTGAATTGCTTTACAGCATCTTTATCAATTTATGTTATCTTTGGCCTCATTTATTACTTAAGATTTATAACATAAGAGAGGCAAAAGTGAGGTGTGTTTCAGGGGCAGCAATTCACAGATGGAATTCAAAATCTATAATATGACTAATAAACAACAGTGAAAACAAAAGTCTGTTACAAGGCAAAAGCTAAAACACGAACCATAGTTTTTTTCCTGTATAAAAATTAATACAACTAAACATATTTACTACAATGCATAGTGTGATCATAAATAAAGTGGTGGTGCTCAGGGCAATGAGTGGATCAGGACAAAAGCTAGGCATACACAGATAGCTTTCTTTAGTTTAGCCTCACAGGCTGAATGAGAGAATCACTTGTTCCCCCCTTGTACACTAACAATGTTGATGGAGGAATCTTTCCTGCCAACCTTTGTATTTTGGCAGACACTGACCTCACAACTGTAAGAATATCTGGACTGTGAGTACATCTGATTAACTGCATTCACTGTTTGGCCAAGAATTTTACACCCTGCTCCTTTATTTCCAAATCAATTTGTCAGTTCTGTTGGTGCCAAGAAGTTCATTTACGGCTAGAATTTTGGTCGATTTATCATGAATCATCTGAAACTCAAGCTATGTATGGCTAGGAAACAAGAGGGTAATAGCAATAAAATAATAAAGCATTAATAAAATGAGCAAATAGTTTACAGTAATTAGAGAAAGATTACCCAGATAGTAACAGAATGGCTTCCGCAGTAATTTACCATTACAAGAAGGTATTTTTGGGCCAAAACTTAGGGCTACCAGGTAAGAACAATATACAAACCTCAAAATGTACAAATGATAAGAACTTTTTGTTTGATTTCTTTCTCTTTTTTTTATCCCTGGATATTCCTGACTAAATTCAGAAAATGATCTATAGGTGGAAAAGTGTACAAGAGATCTTAAAGTGGTTTTAAAGGCTGAAGGATTTTTACATGCATTCTAGACATGAAGATGAAAAAACCCTTAGTGTGCAGCTTTCCCCCCAGCTCCCACTAAATCTTACCCAAGTCTCATGTCAATCCAGCGTTGTGCACAAGAGCAGAGTCTCTCCCAGGTCTCTCTCTCCTCATTGGCTGAGATACAGCAGTGGAAGCCATTGGTTCCCGCTACTGTCAATCACAGCCAGGGAGGAGGGAGCAAGGAGTGGCTTGGGAGTTTGCATGCACGAGTGCTCCCAGAGCAAGCAGCTTGCTATAGGGGAACTCAGCAAGGGGGAGGGGTCAGAAGCACCGGCGGGGGACCCAAGAAGAGTAGGATAAGGGCTGCTCTGTGCAAAACCATTACAAAGAACAGGTAAGTATGATGTGTTATTTTAACTAAATAAAAATCAAGACTTTCGAACCACTTTTAGAGGAAACACAGGACTATATTTCATTATAGCAGTTCTTTTCTTCCTCTTCTTTGTTTAACTAGTTGCCGACCGCAGATAGCCGAATGACGGCTGCACTGCGGCCGGCCAGTTCTGAGTGGACGTCATATGATGTCCTCCCAGAACGCACTCTCCTGCGCGCCCCAGGGGGCGCGCACCCGGCGATCTCCGTGATCGCTGTGTCCTACGGACACAGCTGATCACGTGATGTGGTAAAAGGCCAATCACAGCGGCCTTTTACCACGTGATCAGCGGTGTCCAATGACACGCTGATCAGAGGGAAATGCAAGTGCCGGTTCTCGGCTGCACTTTCCTCACGCTGTCAGATCGAGAACCGGCAGTTGTCAGAGCGGGGATCGGCACCGATCATCAGGGCACTGATGATCAGTGCCCTGATGATCGGTGCCCAGCAGTGCCACCCGCAAGTTCCGTCCACCTGTGCCCAGCAGTGAGCCCACTAGCTCCACCCACCTGTGCCCAGCAGATCACCCACCTGTGCCCAGCAGTGCACCCACCTGTGCCCAGCAGTGCACCCACCTGTGCCACTCTGCAGTGTCACACACCTGTGCCCAGAAGTGCCACCTACCTGTGCCCAGCAGTGCCACCCACCTGTGCCCACCACTGTGCCCACCAGTGCCACCCACCTGTGCCCACCCACCAGTGCTGCCCACCAGTGCCACCCACCAGTGCAGCCCAGCAGTGCTGCCAGTCAGTGCCACCAGTCAGTGCCCAGGGGTTGTGCCAGTCAGTGCCGCCAGTCAGTGCCCAGCAGTGATGCCAGTCAGTGCCGTCTATCAGTACCCATCATCAGTGTCACCTATCAGTGCCGCCTATCAGTGCTACATATTAGTGCCGCCTATCCGTGACACCTCATTAGTGCTGTCTATCAGTGCCGCCTATCCGTGCCACCTCATTAGTACTGCCTATCAGTGCCCTTTAGTGCTGCCTATCAGTGCCCATCAGTGCCGCCTATCAGTGCCCATCAGTGCTGCCTCATCAACGCACATCAGTGAATGGAGAAAAAATACCTGTTTGAAAAATTTTATAATAGAAACAAAGAAACTTTTTTTTTTTTCAAATTTTTTGCACTTTTTTTATTTATAGCGCAAAAAGTAAAGCGCCCAGTGGCGATTAAATACCACCAAAGAAAGCTCTATTTGTGAGAAAAAAATGATCAAAATTTCATATGGGTACAATGTTGCATGACCGCCGCGCAATTGTCAATCAAAGTGCGGCAGCGCTAAAAAGCTGAAAATTGGCCTGGTAAATAAGGGGGTATAAGTGCCTGGTAGGCAAGTGGTTAAAAGAGATTGCACAGTAAATGTTCAGGATTTTTAAAATCTAAAACATGTCACTTACCTGCTCTGTGCAATGCTTACCTGCTCTTCTCGGGTCCCACGCTGGGGATTCTGGCCCCTCCGCTCTGCTGAGTTCCCCCATAGCAATCAGCTTGTGCATTTTCACTCCGAAGCCAGCTCTGTGTCTCCATTTACACACAGAGCCGATTTGGTCCATCCCCTCTCTCTCTCTTCACTGGCTGTAATTGACTGCAGCAGGAGCCAATGGCTCATGCTGTAACCTCTCTGTCCAATGAGAAAATTGAGAGAACTGCTGCTCTCATGCAAATCACTGGATTGAGATCAGACTTACGTAAGTATTTAGGGGGCTGTGGGGGGGACTGGTCATAGAAGGATTTTTACCTCAACCTCCCTAGCGGTATGATTATGTCCATATTTCTGTGCTCAAAGCGGTACATTTTTTTGCATGAAAATATGTTTGTTTGTTTTTTATTGTAGGCCTGTAATTTTTAGGAATAACTCACTGAAATCTGTCTGAACAAGAGTCTAGTAAACATCCCGGGTATGATAAAACTTGAAACACAAAATCATAAATTATAATTTAATAAATAATCATAAAAATAATAACATAATAATACATTTAATTCAATAATATAATCAAACCAAAAACACTGAAATTTGAAATATACGCCAAGTTCGCATATCACTGAGCAGTCGCAAAATCGTTTTCAGTGTCTGATGACCAATTTCCACACGAATCATTATCACTCAATTCTGCAAGTGGTTCTGATTTACTATTGCTGTTCTCTAGCTGGTCTAAAACCGCTTTTGACCTAAAGGGACGCTTTTTGGACGCCATGGACATTTCTCAGTTTCTAGGCAGAAAGAACAGTAAAAATGCAAGCAGGGCACAAGACAAAGCACTCGGGACAAAATGTATGTGAAATGCTTTGATACAGTAATGTTTTACTATGTGATTTTAGTGATTTTAGTGAATGTCACTTTTTGTCATTTTCAAATTTCCCACCGTTCCGTCCCCCATACGTCCCTACGCTCGCAGGGGATGGAACCACAGATGACAGATGCCGGCATCCGCCAGATTACATTGCCAGGGACACTGCAGGAGGGACATCGCGGGAGCGCAGGACAAGGTAAGTCGTGGAGCAGCGCCGCATGGTAAGCCCGAGTGTAGCTCGGGGTTACTGCTTGTGGTACTGAAACTTTACCCCGAGCTACACTCGGGAATACCTCCAGGGAGGTAGATGCATTAAGTTAAATAAATACTGCCTTTAGAACCACTTTAAAGGTAAAGGCTAACATATTGATAATAAAACAAACAGCATGAAGAAAATTCTAGTATTAGCTTTCACTAAAATATATATGATACAAGAAGCAACGCTTTATAAACAGGTCATAGATGCACCTTGAGCTTTTAGCAAGAGGAGAAACTGTCCAAAAATATTTGTTGTGGAGTTGGTCTTTAATCACCTTTTGCCCAGTGTTTGGCAAAAAAACAGCCAGCTCAGAGCACTATTATTGCGTGAGGATGCAATATGACATCCTCCCATTCCTACAGCTCGTGCACGCCCAAGGGAGCACACAGAGGCACAATCTGTGCTGTGTCCACCAGAGAGGGTACCATGTGATCTCTGTGACCAATCACAGCAATCACATGGCAGCTGTCAATAATGGCTTTCATTCATAGCTATTGTGTGTACTATTCTGATCTCTCTGATTGGTCACAGTGATCACATGGCACAATCACAGCGGACATGTACCATATGATAGCTGTGGTCAATCACAACATCATAGTAGTAAGCAAGGTTTTATAAATGAAACCTTTGAACAATGTCAGAGATTGTAATAAACATAAGCGTATAAAAAAAAATCCTGATTTGAGAAAAAAACGTATTATTATTATTATTATAAATAATAATAATGTATATTTTTTTTACATACTGTCACCAGTCAGTGTTTCTGATCACCACTATACCAGTCATATGGTGACACTGCACTCCTTTGGTGACAGTATGAAAAAAGAATGTAAAATAAAAAAACTAATTTTATTTAAATTTCTTTATTTCTTACTAAATACCTTGGAGTATCTACCCTCCAAAATGGGGTTATATGGGGGGGGGGGGTATTTGTACTGTCCTGGCATTTTAGGGCCTTAAATGAGATCTGTGATCTATGAAATGAGGCTGTCAGTACATCAGGATTGATCAACTTTCAAATATATATATATATATACCATAGTTTGTAGACTCTATAACTGCGGATTGAGCATAATGGATCGGAGTCCGATCCACTATGCTCCCCAATCCGCAGATCCGATCCATCCTGCGGGGATCGTCAGCTTGCTTTACAACTTTCCTTTTCGTGGAGCGGGTCCAGTGTCATTCCGTATAGGTTGCATGCTGACGATCCCCGCAGGATGGATCGGATCTGTGGATTGGGGAGCATAATGGATCGGACTCCGATCCATTATGCTCAATCCGCAGATCCAATCCATTCTGCGAGGATCGTCGGAGGGGGTGTCACCAAGTGTTTTCGCAGTGGGTGACACCAACCCTAGGGATGCCCCTGCATATAGCACTATCCCCTTAGGAATCGCTAGAAGATTTAGGTCCCTCTATAGTCATGCCCAGCCAGGCAACATGCATCTTCACACAGGCTTGCATCCATAGTCAGAGATCGGTTCTTGAGCTTTGGTTTTGTTGGGGGTTTTTTTAGGGGATTTGAACTGGGATAGGGTTAGGGATGTGCAGGATGCCCAAGGTAACTGATGAACTGAGGACAACTTCCTGCAACTATTTACAAGCCTTCACTGCAGCACAATCTCTGTTGGACAGCTAGCCCCCATCTCCTAATGTACTGCCCCAGGCCCTAGATGAACTCCTCTTCTACACCAAGCAATTTGGAGGTATCCCTGAACAGGAGATCTGGTGCCTGTTACTTTAAAATTAGGCAGTTCCAAATAGGCCACGAATCTGGTTTCCCCCCAGAGTGCTCCTTCCCCTATCCGCCCAGGAGTTGCAGGGCTACTCACTCAAATTCTCTCCTGTACCGCTGGGGGGTTGGTGGATGCTACCAGGCCTTTTACCTGGGCCACTCCTTCCCTGCCATACAGGTGGTTCTTGCTCTTGGGGCCAGTGAAGTTCTGAGCTTTCTTCCTTTCCAGCTCCAGGCCTGCAGGTAGGCCCCATCCCAATGGGACTCCTTGCAGCCTCCTGAATTCATCCTCACATCTTCCTCACTGTCTTCCACCCAAACTTTCCTGCAACTGAGCAGGCTCCAACACTTTTAAGGGTGCCCCAGTCGTTTGCCAAGCCTTATGTTGGTGATCAGCCAGGATCCCTCAAGAGTGCAAGCCAGCCACTCCTCAGATCTAACCAATGCTTCTAGGCCTTCCTCCAAAGCCATAGAGCAGGGGAAAATTCCAGAGCAGCAGGCCTGCAGAGTCTCTCAGCTCCTAGCCACAATTTGGCCTTCTGGCTATTACACCCAGACTGCTACTTATCCCTCCTCTCTATCAATCAGGGCTCTATCAATCAGCTAACTAGGAGGATGCTACACACATATAAAAATTTGTCCAGCTTAGCAGGAACTACCTGAATTTTGATGTGCGTGTAACCCTCTTTTTTCAACAGAAGCTGGTCAGGAAAACCAGCATTAGATCAGTCACTGCAGCCAATGGCTGCAATGTTGATCTGTGTATTCTGATGGGAGGAGTTTCTGTTGTTAGAATACAATAGAACAGCAGGGAAGATCCCTGCATCCACATCACTTGTGTGGATGCAGGTGTGAGTGAGGCTTTTTTTCATTCAACCCACTGGCTTACCACTGCCTGTCTAATGGTGAACAATTAAGCCTAGTGCTGAGAGGGTACAGCTTTGGGAATTGCATTATTACAGGTAAATGTATCAATGAAATCAGAAGATGTCAGCAGAGAGAGACACTTCCAATAAGGTGGCACTGGTGCCTGTGGCATGGTGAGGAAGGGCACAGAGCAGCATTAGTGGAATTTTACAAAGCAGGAGGGTAGGTTTGCTGTAATGAGCTAATATGCTGTGAAAACTTGTATATTACTACAAATGCTTTCCCTACCAAACATCGAGTTCTGCTTTAAATACACCTTGGGGATCAAGTGATGAATTAATTAGGATGAGGTCTGATTAATGGAAAATAAAATTATTTTCCTCATAGATAGCTTTTAAAATCTGATTGATTTAATGGACAAATTAACTTTTCGGTGCATTCATGATTGCTATTGTAATGATTTCTACATTAGCATATAATGCTGTATAAATAATTTTTTCTCTATAATTTGTATTATGTTCTACACATTATCTCTATAATTTGTATTATGTTCCACACATTAAAAACAGTATCTGAACTGCATATGCATCCAGATTTTAAATAATTTAGAACAGCAATATTATTAATTAAACAGAAAATAGATAGTTTGTAAATAATCAAGATCTCAGTGCACAATATTTACTTACATTTAAAACATTTTACTTTTAAATATAACTAAAACTAACAAGCCCTTAAAACATAGGGGTGTCTGCAACCTGAAAAAACTCACTATAATTGTGCAAGATGTCAGCATTTGTTATAGCCAAAAAAGTTGGCCAAAAAGAAAATTATGCAACTAAATAAGATTATGCCTGTTTGCGTCACAGTCATCTAAGACTTATCAGATGCAACAATATCAAGAGAAATGATGTCCTTGACCATTTTAAAATGCTGGAGATATCTCAGGCAATATAACTGATATGAAACATATTTTCTTAGCAGGTTGTGATAACATCCTTGGAATGTCTGAAATAAAAGAATGGAGGTATATGGAAGAAGGAGGTAATATGTAAATACAGAATATAGATATGTTTATGTATTTTCAGCCGGGGTGAATTGTAGTTGTCAGTAAATGTTTTGTACTGTATACACATACACTGAAATATCTCATATACTGTATATGCTGGTTAGAACTGAGTGCACTACATGTATATATACATCATGTGTATATATATCACAGACTTCTTCCTATTGTATTTCAGTTGACTGCCACATTAGAGGACACCAAATAGGGAATAACAGTGTAGCATGCCTGTTACCATAAGTGAATTGAGAAAAAAGAATAAGTGACCTGGTCCCTACAGCTGCAGAGTAGAGCTGAGCTTAAGGTTCAAACACAAGTTAGACCTGAACCTTGGCTGTTCAGGCATTTGGACAAACACTCAAAATTTGACCAGAGCCAAACTTCATATATAATAGCTGTATTACTGTCATTGTTCTACATGGCAGGCACCACCAAATCCTTAAGAATCTGTGATGTCATTGGTCCAATTCACTTACATGGCCAAGAATCCCCTGCCATGTAAGCAAAGGAGCTAGAAATAGTTAAAAAAGTAAAAACAGCATGGGGGTTCGGCCATAATCCATACCAGTGCCTTCAGGTCTGATATGAATTTTAAAAGGGCCCCCAAGGAACCCCACTCAAAAATAAATTTTTAAAAAAGCTGACCTACTCCCCCTCCTTCCTTTCGTGAACCATACTAGGTCACATGACCTCAACTCACGACAACTGTACCTGGGGTTGTGGGGATCTGTGGTTTTTCAAAATCTGGAATCTTCCTAAACAAAAAGGGGGCACCCAGATACCATGAATGTGAATGAGTAAAGGCTACATAAAAACATAGCACTCCCTGCTTATTTACAAAAAGTATATTCAGTATAAAAGCACACACAAACAAAAACAAAAGAGACCTGCAATGTATATCCACCATCAATCACAACATCCAGCGATGTAAACCCATGCCAATCACAATCACCAGAGCCCACAGACCCAGCGAAAGAAATAAAAAAAATGCCACCCGCCAGCACGCATCTTGTCTTGTTGCTTCACTTCCACCAATGACAGGTAGTGAGGATGCCAGTGCATATTAACAGGTGGGATCTCCCAGGTGATGTCATTGACTATATAGGGACATGACCATGTGTGATGCCTGGCTATGCCTGAAGGTCATCCTTCAAGAATCCTCCTACATGGACCACATTGCCAATGCTTTCTATTGATCATGCAACATCTAAACTGCATTCCCATTATTATACTGTTTGAATATACAGAACATCAGCATTGTAAGAACAATGCAAACGACAGTTATTTTTTACAGTGCAATATAAGAGTGCATTGTACAACTACACAATGACCTAGTCCAACATTAGTACTATCTATAACTTGACTGATCTACCTAATTTCTCACACTTTGAGCT